GAATGGAAGGCCCTGGTTGACTTCCATCTGCTTAAAATTTTGGTTGTCTGATGTGGATGCTGTGTCTGTTTAATCTTGCTGTGGAAGAGAAGGCGGCTAAATGTTGCTGAATCTAGCAGTGGAGAAACCTTTTACTCTTAGTTGTGAAGCATCTCTGCAAAGTTAAATTCTGTTCACAGTAGCCAAAGGCAGAATTGAATTCCCTGCTAACTCAGGTCGCCCACTGCAGGGGAACACAGTTGTGCCTTCCTGGTTTCTTAATAAAAGTTATTTTGGATTTCTTACTTTACAACACTGTCTATACTGTCTTTGCATCATAAAGACGGCAAAACTCACTTCAGTGTGAGTACGAAAAGAGCCATCTGTGTTAACGGCACCACATGAATTCAAGCAGCAGGTTAAGTCTGTGTGCTAACAGAGGGTATAAATGTGGTGTATTACTCTCCTACTGTCCAAAACCGCCAGTCAACATCAGTACTTGTAATCAAATTGGGTTCTTTTCCACAATCAGCATTTTAAAGATTACTGGCAGACCATAAAGGAGAAAATCATTACTCGGAAGCAGTAGCCAATCCTTTCAGCAAAAGGCCAGCACTTCACAAAGCTACACAGCCAGGTCTTCCATTTTTAAATGATAATAGCAAAAGCTGGTTTAAAAATAGGAGAAGGAAAAAAAAAAAGTCATGTTCCCTGGAAGGCTGCAAGTACTTACCCCCAATTAAATTACTGAGATGGCACAGAGTTTTTCCACCTCTGTAGGGAGTATGAGTCACACTGTTGTGCAGGCTTCTGTACTCAAATCTGTGCTTTAAAAGTAGAAAAATAGCAAGTTGTGGAGAGCAGCCCTTGTTACGTCCAGTATTTTTATTTTTTTAATCATACTTACGGAGGCTGCATCTGGGGCTACGTTTTGGTTTTTAAACTTCCACCTCTGGCATGCCCCAGCTGTCTTGCAGTGCAAGATGACCAAACCCAATAAATAGTCATTGCCCTTGCTCTAGGAAACGGTACTAATTGTTTACCTAAACTGTAACTTTCTCCAGGATGCCAGCATGGGATACGTGAGGGGTCCATTTTGGTCTGTGTGGTGTTTTCACTGTTCAGGGATTCCTGCGTTTGGCACACAGCCTATTAGGCAACTTATTGAAGAATTAAGTCATGTAATAAAGCTGTGCCGGTGCTGTAGTGGGGCACATGTATCGGAGCCAGCTGTGACCGCTGTCTTGGCACTGGGACCACCCTAGCTGTGCCAGCACGCTGCTCACTTCCACAGCTCCTCTCCAAAGAGCCGCTAGCCCACGTTGAGCTCTGCAGTATTGAAGCTACATGGTCTATTACACTTCCAATCAGCCTGCATTCTAGTAGTTATTTTTAATAAAGATTTGTCTAAGCAATTAATTTATTTTGCCCTTTGGCAAAGAAGTTACTGTAAATGCTTGTCTTAGCAAGACTTGAATGCAATAAAATGGTGAGACTATCCTGTCCTTAATTTGGTGAATTTTCATTCCTCAAATGCCTTTGTTAACATCTCCCTTGGCTTGCTAACCAGGCCCAGTGTGTTTGAGGCTTTGGATGATTGTGGCAGTTTGTTCTAGGTTCTTAGATCTTCCTCCTGGCCTTTTTTTTTTTTTTTTTTTTAATAGCAGACTCGCATTAAACAGAAGTTTAAAGGGATGGAGATGGAAGGCTTCAGAGTAGAAAACAAGACAGTTTTGCTTGCTCAAGAATCCTTTATTTCTGCTCCTTATGTACTTTTGTCTTACATCAACTGTCTTGGCATAGTACAACAGGGCAAATCCTTTGCAAAGTTGTGGTTTTAAACGCAACTAGCTCAACAGTCAGCATCAGTAGAAGGGAACAGCAGCCTTTCTAAACCTCATATAAATGAAAGGACTCTAAAAATCTTTGTATTATGTTCACCTCAGACAAGGATATTACTTTTACAGGCTTGGGGGTGAGTGGCTGGAAAGCTGCCCAGCGGAAAAGGACCTGGGGGTGCTGGTCAACAGCCAGCTGAACATGAGCCAGCAGTGTGCCCAGGTGGCCAAGAAGGCCAACAGCATCCTGGCCTGTATCAGCAATCGTGTGGCCAGCAGGAGTAGGGGAGTGATTGTGCCCCTGTACTCGGCACTGGTGAGGCCGCACCTCAAATACTGTGTGCAGTTTTAGGCCCCTCACTAAAGAAGGACATTGAGGTGCTGGAGCGTGTCCAGAGAAGGGCAACGAAGCTGGTGAGGGGTCTAGGGGACAAGACTTATGAGGAGCAGCTGAGGGAACGGGGGTTGTTAGTCTGGAGGAGGCTGAAAGCAGACATTATTGCTTCCTACAACTACCTGAAAGGAAGTTGTAGTGAGGTGGGGGTCAGTCTCTTCTCCCAAGTAACACATAATAGGACAAGAGGAAATAGCCTCAAGTTGCACCAGGAGAGGTTTAAATTGGACATTAGGAAAAATTTCTTTACCTAAAGAGCAGTCAAACATTGGAGTAGGCTGCCCAGGGAAATGGTGGAGTCGCCATCCCTGGAGGTGTTCAAAACGTGTAGATATGGCACTTTGGGGTGTGGTTTAGTGGGCACGGTGGTATTAGGTCAATGGTTGGACTTGATGATCTCAAAGCTCTATTCCAACCTAATGATTCTATGATAGACAGACAGGATTTGTCTTCAGTCCTTTGTAAGCTGACTTATCTGTTTGGGATGTACTTTTACTAAGGGTATGAAGTTAGTGCCTCTGTGGAAACATTACAGGAGAATTTATTTTCCCTTCTGCTGTTGTACCTGTTGGTCTTTCCACGCTAGCTGTGCTTGGCATCCTGCAATAGAAGACAGGTTTGATATGACCCATTCCAACACAGAGGTTTAGACTCTTCTGCTCAGAGCAGTAAGTGGGTTTATTATACAATATGCATTTAACTAAAGCTAGCTCCATAAAACCACCATTAATCCAGAGTGCTGGTGGTGCTTCACCCTTTTCCAGAACATGAGATTATCTAGCATTCTCTTTGAGACACAGGTTGATTTATCTGAAAAATTACTTGCTTTCTGTTTTGGCCATGACTTAAGGGGTTCATCTTCAGTCAGGTGACTACAGTACAGCAGCTTCCCTAAAAGCATGAGATACTTTTTAGAATTATCAGCCAGATGTAGGATACTTGTCAGCCACAGCAGGCTGCTCTCTGCCATGTGTATTGTACTTAAATTCCCTAGGAAGCCCAAACTCATTGCTTCAGTCCACACAAAGAAAACTGAAGGAGTATGAACTACAGCTCTGCAACAGCCTTTAGGCAGTCTCTGAGCAGTTTAGCTTTGTAACGAACACTTCAGTTAGGTGCAAATGCTTCCCAAAGGGAATGACAATTATTATTTAGCTTTGTCAGCAATTTTATTTTTCTTAAAAAGTCAGTATTTAAAAATAAGCGAGTTAAGATATTGGCCGTTGTGCACTGCCATAAGATTTCTGCTCCCCATACACCTCTTACAGAAGTCTCTTGTCTGGCTTCAAGAAGAAAAAAAAAAAAACCACAACAAAAAAAAGGTTGTGCTATGTGTACTGATGATCTTGGCTCTGTCCGCTGCCACACAGTAGCCACTGCCTGCCTGTTACACCGTACGTGCTGCTCAATCACTTCGAGCAACAACTTGGCAGGCTGCAGGCATGCCCTGTGCCAGAACAGACCTGCCTTATCCTCAGTAGACTAAACCATTCAGAAATTACACACACCTGTTAGAGGCTGAAGCTCAGCAGAAATACTGTAACGCAGAGGAAGCTTCTGGGGGGGTTAAAAAAGCCCTGAGCAGGCAGACATAGAGATAAGGGGGGATTTTTTTTTTTTCCTTCTCTTTTCTTTTAAACATCAAACAGGAAATACAGTTATACAATCACTTTTCAAGAAGTAATACAATGAGAACAAATGAGTTGGGAGTGGAATAAGATGAAAGAAGGGGGAGGAGAGGCAGAAGCACTAAGAATTAAGACATTTTTAACCAAAACCGTGGTGTTTTGAAATGAAACAGATCTCAAAACTATCATCTCCACTGAAGCTAGGCATTAATTCCCCCGACTTCGACTTCCTTATTCCACTTAGACCAACAGTCTTTCTATAGCTTGCTGGACAGACTGGATCTGAGGCTTTAGCTGTGATCCCTCCTTGATGGTGATGGAGCAGGCGATGACGGGCCGGGAAACGCCACACGCCCGGCCCAGGGCTTGCTTGGAGCGCACAAACACGTAAGGTACATTCTTGTCCTCGCAGAGAAGAGGGAGGTGCAGGATGATCTCCAAGGGCTCCGCATCTGCTGCCATCACAATGAACTCCGCTATCCCTCGGTTCAGCGTTTTGGTGGCTGTTAAAGAAACCGAAGAGTGAGGCTAGGTCCTTCTGGAAAGCACACGTAATGAAAATCAGCTTTAGGAGATGTGGAAATGGGCACGAGCAAGAAGGAGATCTAGTGGCAGCATAAGGACAGGCCAAAGGGAAGTGGCAGCTATAGGACCAGGGAGGGGGTTGCACTGGGGGTACCGTGCCCAGCGCCACAGTGCAGAGATTCACCAAGGGGGCCAGGTCAGACCAGGGCTGCTGACAGGTGGGGGGCTGGGGTGCATCACACATGAGGGGAGACTGGGGCAGGTGGGTTTGTTTAGCCCAGAGAAGAGAGGGCTAAGGTGGGGGGGGGGACACAGGATGTGGCTGCTGTCTTCCGCTACTTCAAGGAGATTGCAGAGAACATAGAGCCAGACTCTCCTCACGAGTGCACGGAAAAAAGGACAAGTTGCAGACTGTGATTGTTGCCTCAAGGAGATTCTAATGACATGCTGGAATTTTATATTCCCCCCCCCCTTATGAGGGGTTTAAGCCATGGGACATGGGTCCTGAGAGACTGTGGAGTTTCTATCCTTAGGGATTGTTTTTTTGAAAGTCTGACTGGGCAAAGCCCCAAGCAACCTGATCCAACTGTAAAGGATGCCACCCTCTGAGCAGGCTGCACTAGAGGTACCCTCACACCCAAATCTTACAGTTCTGAACTGGCTAGGCATCTAGTAATCCCAGTACCACACCACTAAAGCATGCATAATCACAGGAACACAGTTTGGGAGTCTACCAGAACTGCATCTAAGTGTTGAAAAGATTACAGCTTAGTCCTGTCCTGAACATTGCTTCAGCGGGAGGAGGGAGACAGACACTTGCAATAGCCAGATCTATATAAAATTAGCAGTCCACAGACAGTCCAGAAAAGACAATCTCTAGCCACAGCTTCTCACAAAATCCTTGCTACGTTTCTAGCACACTTTGCAACACACAGGTCTCACCTTCATTGGCTCCTTTGCGTAACTGCTTATAGTTGCAAGATTGCTGCACAAGATCCAGTAGCGTTTTGGTGAGCTGCGCATCAGCCAGCGGGTAAGCCTTGGGATTCACTTCTGCCTCACTCTAGAGAAAGGGAAAAGTACAGAGTATTACAACAGGAGCAAAGGGGGCTTTGTTCTGAACAACACTACGTAGGCTTCACGTCTACCACATATATTGGCTCCTGGAGTCACGTCCCTATTCTCATCCGCTCTGCACATATGCTAGACGTCCCACTGCGTTTTATTTCTCATAGTCAGAGTAAAGAGCATCTCTACTCACACAGACGACCAACCTACACCTTACAAACCAGCAGCAGTAACTTACAGGGCAGTCTTCAGGCATTTACTACCACAGACACTATGTAAAACGAAGCATTTCAGTGCACAAATCAACAAGCTCAGACACGATTTTTAAAGAAATCCCGAAAGAAGCACATACCAGGTTTATTTCTGCCAATCACGGGTAGCTTCTAAACATTAACACCGATGGCGCAGCGGAGCAGCAACCGACTCGCAAGCTGCGCTAACGACCGGCACCGGCGGAACGGCACCTTCTTCAGCTCCCAGCACCCGGCCGGGGCACCCCA